TCAGTGCTTTATCACATTCATACACCTAAAGGGACACACATCAGAGGCAAAGAGGGGTTCAGTGTCTTGCCCAGGGACACTTCGGCATGTGACTGCTGGTGGAATCGAACCCCCAACTCTCACATTGGAGGACGACTGCTCTAACCACTCATCCACAGCCGCCCCATAGATGGCAGCTCTCTGCTCCACACAGAGGGAGCTCGGTGGTCAGTGGTTGTGTCAGGAAGGGCATCCGACGTTAAAACAGTTGCCAAGTCCTCATGTGAGTTAGTTCGATGTAGCGACTCCTAAGGAAGGGAGTAGCTGAAAAAAGAAAAACAAAGTTAAGTTTTATAAAAAAATATTCAGAAATTCATCAGATATTTTGCTAACAGACAGTTTGATCTCATTGCAAAATTATACCTGAAGTCTTAACTTTCATAAACACCAGTACCTTTTGTCTGTCTCATAGCCTCAATAAAATTAAATTTATCCAGTCAGAAATTCCTGACTTTATTGTTGAGCATGATGCTATAAATGTCTTTAAATCTTTCAGCTGCTTTTCAAAAACAATCTGGGGATATCACCAATGGCCTCATTCATCAACATCTACAACAATCCACCGTACGCTTCCCATTTCCATCTCTCTCAGCACATCAGACTCTGTATTATAGTCCTCTATCATTGATTTTTTTTTTTCCACTTTCACAAATGAGGAGAGAATAGCATGCCAATTAATCTTCATCTAACACCCACAGCGCCTTACAAACATCCCAGGATCGCTGGCGCTTTCCCTCATTTTGGCACTGGTGTGTGCGTAGCCTCATTTATCTTCAACGCTCTCGCTTCAGCTGCTGCACCGGCCAGGAAAGACGAAACCCAAGTTGTTTTGCGCATTCAGAAATAAGAACAGTGGTACAGTTTTTAAAACCTGGCTTCTTGTTGTCCCTAATAGTCTTCTCGGTGAGCGCACACAGTGCTGAATCAGTCCTAATGTCGCCTGGGGTGTGCACGATTCTCCCCCTCGTTGCTCCTTACTACTTTATGAAGCTATAATGAGAAAAAATAAAAAAAAGGAGCGACAAGATTGCCATTTTGTCCCCTGCTCTAATTGCAGATTAAAGTTAACCAAATAAAAGAAGGATGTTCGGCGTAGGAAAAATGTCACTACTTTGTCACTCTCCTTTCTGAAGAATGGATCCACTATTAGCTTCACGTCGTGGCCTTCGGAGCAAATGACTGTTTTAAGGCAGCGGGAGCCTGTTGCCATATGGCATGAGACGGTGACAAAATTGAATAAACAGGGGAGATTTGCGAAAACAAAGCAGCAGGAGAGCATCATTAGACAGCAGTTGTCCGCCAGAGAGACTTCAATTCAAATAGGAAAAGGAGGGTGGAGGGGAAGGATGGTGGAGGGGTCACACAGAGAGCAACAAAGTGCGAGAATCAGTGTGAGGGTTGCCATAGTTAATTTTTACACCGCTCACTCCCCTCCAGCTACAGAGCAGCGACAGGCGTTAGATATGGTTACTGCTGCAGTGCTCAAGCTGTTTGCTTTTCTTCTGTGATGCATAAAAAACCTATACGAGAGTTAACTCTTCAGGGTGACAATTTAATGCAGGAATTAATGACAGCAGAAAATTATTTAATGTGAGTACCTACCTCTAGGATGCTAAAGGTCAAGTGTGACCTATTAAAGGCTTGACATTCCTGTGAGCCAAATCTGGTTGAAAAGGAGGAGCCGTGGATGAATTCTCATCAACCTGGTGGTGGTGCTCGAGTACCTGACCGCCAAGATCCTGGAGCTGGTGGGAAACTCGACTTGTGACAACAGGAGGACCAGGATCATCCCCCGGCAACTTCAGCTGTCTGTCCATGGTGACGATGAGCTCAGCAGACTGCTGGGAGGAGTGGCCACTGCTCAGGGAGGAATTCTGCCCACATTCGGGCAGTCCTGCTGCCCAGTGCAACCGAGTGGCACACTGGATCTGACAGCAAGCTGGATCCGGGTGTACGGATCGGTATCTGAGGCCATTTCTTCGGATTTACTGCAGGAGATCCTTCCTGCCCACAGCTATCAGCATCTAACAACTCTTTATTGTAACCAGGATGATGAGCTATGACAACACTTAATTTCGCTTTGGGATGAATAAAGTATTTTTGAATTGAATTGAATTGAATTGGTCCCCCAAGATGATCATTTAAATGTAAAATATTTCCTCTTTTTTTTTTTTCCTTTTAAAAAAAACTGATAAATACATCATTTAGTATAGACTTCCCTTGCCAGCTGGCTAACTTTGAAACCAGAATGAATGTCGGATCATTCTTTCATTATTGATTCTGATGTGGAAAGAGCAATAGAACGTCAGATGAGACAGATCAAACTCTTCTTGATGAACCTGCAACCAGCTATGTATGTGGGGCCGAGATGGGTTAGAGGGAGGGCAGCCAACTTGGGACCTTAAAGTCCCAGGTTCGATCCCCAGCCATTCCCACATGTCGTGGTGTTTCTGAGCAGGACTCCCAATCCCTAATTGCACCCCAGGAATCTTACATAGCTGTCCACTGCTCCATCAGGGTGTATCCCAGTGTGATGGGTTAAATGCAGAGAACTTGTTTTGCCATTGTATGGGAACTTACAATGATGACAACACACAGCACTTACTACAGGTGACTCGAGTTAATGTATCAGCTGAAAGTGGCCTGTGGCTCAGACAAAGTTTCCCAGTTTTGGCTCCTTTTGTTAACTCAGTTCGTCACCCATACAGGAATCCATTTTTCCCAGCACTTTTCGACTAAGATGATCTCATATTGAGAAATGATGGCGATGAAACCATTTGGTTAAAGTTATGGGACACTGTGTGTGTTAGCTCAGACTGTGCTACAGACTCTCAGCTACAGCCACAACATATTTTAGCACATCTTTAAACTTGACCGAAATTTAGCTCTTCTTGTTTTATCTAAAATCAATTGACTGTGGTTTCCATCTTAAATTATGTTAACTCCAAAATGCATTCAGTAGTAGATGCATTTATGCCAAGATGGCCACAGTCAGCTGGGCAGCAGCTTCACAGGCTCCTGATGAAATCCCAGTTTTTGATGGTTTTGGAATCGACTCCATGCCCGACTCTGCTCGCCTTAAGTCTGTGAATTATAGCCGAACCGAACTGATGAACATAAGAGAGGGTTAACAATATTTCTAAACTCTAAACGCTCTAAAAGAGCACAGACTGTCATGATTTCTGCTCTCTGCCTTGGCTGCTCTCGGCCACGCCCACTTCTCCACAGCAGAGCAGAGATCAGCTGATCAGCTGCAAGAGGGAGCTCTGGAGCTGTGGGCTGCATGTGCAGCAGGTGCTAAATAACTTTAAATAATTTATTTTAAATAAAAAAAAATCCATGCCGATTGCGCGGCTCATCCATCAATCAGCCAATTGTGTGTCATGTCCAATCTTACTTTGAAAAACCACGATAGAGCGAGTCCACGATAATTAACTGTGAAGTAGAGAGGGACTGCTGTATTTATCAGAAAAAAGGTTATTTTTCCCAGAGATGGTTTACATGCAAATAGGGTTTTAGACTATTGTTTACATTGGAACACAGTGCAAGGAACGACTGTAGTAGTGATCGACTTGTGGCTTGAGCAAATTGTAACGTCAAGATAACAGTTACCATTAGTATTTGAGCTTTAGATGTGTGGCAGTCACTACAGTTTTCCTCTTAAACAATTGGGATCACCACAAAAAATGCAACATGAGAAAAGGAAAAAGGTTCTTCATACACACACAAAAAAACCCAAACATGACCACAAAGCGTCATCATATCTCAGAAGTTTGTGACGTTTGTATAATGTCTGCAGTGACTGTATCTTCTTGGCTTTTTTTTTTTTCAGTTGTATGGATGCCTGTAGAAACAAATACGCTTAAAAATTCTGGCATGCTGTTTCACAACGTGAGACTCGTGCATGTGCATCAAGTTACAAAAACTGAAATGTGCACCACAGATCAAAAACATACAAATATCCCAACACAACTTTGTACTGTGAGGTGAGAATTGTTGCAAGACGACATGAGAGAGACGCAGAGCGGCAGGTGCAGCATAAACCAGGTTTAAAGAACAGCTTTATGGACTCCATGTTCTTTAGTTCAGGCCAGGAGGCTCTGATTACGGGAAAATGGTAGATTTTAATTCCACACAGCTTACAGCCTCATTCATTACTATATATTTATCTACTAAATTTAATAAGACTAAAGTCACTTGTTTATAGAGAAAACGTACTTTCATTAAGGTCAAAATTATGGACGAAAAAAACGTTTTTGTGCCTCACAGCATGCGGTCTGAGAAATCAATGAAAGGTTCTTTGTGTAAGAATACTAGAAGAGAATTTAAAAATCAATCAAAGCAATTGTCTGAGAGTCTGGAGGCAAAACAGAAAAAGTTTGTTGTTTTAAAACAGTGCATGCGAAAATAAACAAAAAGGTCCAGACTATAAATTTAATCTTCTACAATACTCAAGTATTAAATGTACAACTTGAGCCTGGTACAGTCTTGAATCCAATTTGTATTTTTTATGCTGGAAAAAAAGGGACTTTAGCAAAAGAAAAGTCAGTTTTCGTATAGTGTGCCTCTGTGTGGATTTGTGTACATGTGTTTAGTGTGAATACCAACATTTACTGGTGTTGGATGGGGCCAACACATCAACCTAAAGTAGGCCAGTAAGAGCCGGTTGACTGTTTCAGTTCAGTGTCCACAACTCTAAAGCTCCTCCTTTAAATTACTATAAGACCACTGATGTATTTGGGTTATGGTGTCGCACCTTTTCCTTCCTTCTCCAGGATTTTTTTCTTCTGCTGCCTAATAAAACCTGATGTGATAACAGCCTGGGCAACATTAGCTCTGCTATCTCGTTGCATCGATGAGTCATCGCTGCCGGTTTCTTATCAGATCCATTTTAGGATCATCATTGCTGTTTTTTGTCTGACTGATTGTTTTTATTTCCCCTAACCCCCTCCGCCGTCAAGGAAATTGGCCAAGAAGCGCAAAGAGACGCTGAACAGCACCCGCCAAGAGATGACGGTGATGGTCAACTCCATGGACAAGAGCTACACGGAGCAGGGGACCAACTGTGACGAGGCGCTGTCCTTCATGGACACGCACAACCACACGCTGAACACACGCAGCGAGTGCGCGCTGACGTTGAACACGCGCAGCGAGTGCGCGCTCACGCTCAACGGCCGCAGCGAGTGCACCCTCACCGTCAACGGGCGAGGTAAGGTGGCCACCGCCTCCATCATCACGATGTCACACGCATGACCTGCTGGGGGAACATAAATAAATTAGATTACACCAGATTACGGAAGCTGAGGTCTGCAGATTTTAAATTGGATCTGATTTTCTTGAGATCATCAGTCGATCATTAACTCAAGATAAATTATTTTATTCCGTTATCTGGAGAAATTAGACGTTTCTTCTCTTGATGACAGCTTTGTTGTCTCATGACTGCGAGAAGTTTATAATTTCTTTGTTCCACTCAATTTCTATATTTAGCGTCAGTGTCACGATGATTTATAATAATTTAAACGCATATGTTAACTCTCTTCAGTGGAGGGACTTTAATGTGACATATTCATCTTAAATCATGTTCAAACTTTATCTTGATCTCTTAACTGAAAAAAACAACAGCTTTGTTTTCAATGTGATTTAGAAAAACACTGAAACTAAACATTTCTAGAGTGAAATAACTCAAATTATTATTCTGTTTTTCTTAAAAGGAGCTTTGTTATCTCGAAATAATTTCATGAATAGCTAATTGTGTTCAGATAATGTCTTAAAAATGCTTTCTCTCTGCTTCCATACAAAGTTGTTGAACTACTAGTTTAAAAATACCCAAACTTAAATGTGGGAAATAAATCTCAAGAAAAAACATCATTAAGGGCAATAAATAATGAGCTGGAATTAAAGTAAATTCCAGAACAAATTAAAAGAAAAATTTACTGTGAAACGAGCGTGAAAAATAGTGAGGCCAGTGAGTGTAACTTCTGCTCATTAACCTTCAGTTTTCTTTTCATTTTCTATCAATTATCACATCTAGCTGAATAAATTACTGCTTACGATGTATTTTTAATGAAGAACCGCCAAAACATCTCTTTTGTTTTTGATTTATTTTTGTTCTGTGTCAGACTTTTATCAGCCTGCGCGAACGATTCGTCTTTAATTGCGCTGCTTTAAAGAAAGAGTTTAAGTCAAAAAATGAACTGTTTTTTTATTCTAAAACAAAAACTGGGTTTTTAATTTTATTTCAAAGATTTAAAGAATATTAGATTTTCTTTTATTTTTCTCATTGGCTTCATTCTGCCTCACAAGCTCTCAAAAACTGTTTTAAATATTCCCTTTTAATTATTTATTCGTCAAAATGCTTTCAGACTTAACGCTCTGGTTTATTCTAAGCAATTCCTCCACTATAACTGTGTTCAGCTGTTGTGGTAAAACTTATTAACAGACTGATGTGAGTGGATCAATAATCAAGACATCCTGAAATCCCAAACCAGACCTCAAAGCTTATCAGTAAACATTAAAGGGCCGAGATGTCTGCCATGAGGTCGTCAACTCAGCGCCACGCTGCGTAAGTCATTAAAGAAGCACACTAGATTTGCTCACTTGCCACAAATCTATTAATTTTCTCTGTCCCAGGTTAAACTCAATACTTTGTCGAGCTAAAATGGCACCCAGAGCTTGACCTGCTGTAATCCCAGCCAGATTAAAAATCCACAGCAGCCTCTGTCTCTGCACCCCTCTAGGAGCTGAGCCCCCAAAGATGCTCTGACCTTGATTAACCGTCTGTTAATGTTTAAATCCAGCCCTCTGTCGATTTAAACGCATCATTTCTGACACTGCCTGCTGCTGTAAAGCCCTCTCTGACCTTTCGTTTCTGTCAGGAATGTCAATCCAGCTCCAAATATCCTGAATGACGGATTCTTTCCTGAACAAACTGACTCTCATCACCCGTACACCACTTGGCTTGGCAGCTGTGTTGATGCTGTATGGAACAATGACAATCCAGGGACTAATTTATTACAATTTTTATGCCCACATACATTTTGTGATTGTGTTCTGTTCTACACTTATAAACACAAATTATATAATGAACCCTTTTGCTTAAATATCTGATTTTAAATTGGCTACAAATTGATTTTTTTTTTAATACGCATTATAAGCATAAGCACTGAAGGGCCCATATTACCATCCATTCATCCATCTTTACC